CAGAATGTCATTAAACTAAATGTTGTATATATATTAATTTTGGACCAAACTATAATATTCCTTGCCTAAAATAGTAAACTTCACATTCCTTTCTACATATGTGCCGCAGCAAACATTTCTACATATGTGCCGCAGCAGACATTTCTACATATGTGCCGCAGCAGACATTTCTACATATGTGCCGCAGCAGACATTTCTACATGTGTGCTGCAGCAGACATTTCTACATAAGTGCCGCAGCAGACATTTCTACATATGTGCCGCAGCAGACATTTCTACATATGTGCCGCAGCAGACATTTCTACATGTGTGCTGCAGCAGACATTTCTACATAAGTGCCGCAGCAGACATGTAGTGTTAGACTGGCATCTGTAAAGATAAATCTGGGGGATGCAGTCAACATGAAGAAGATCACATTCAGAAAAGTAGAAGTAGAAGATTCTTAAGAACTCTGTTCTCATCTCAATTCTACTTTCAACATCTAATTTTAATGACATTATGATCAAAGAGGCCCAATTTCTAATTTCAATAGTGACAGCTCCAAAACAATTCATGTATAAAACATACATAAAACTTTCTGTTACCAAATCCAAAAGCATAAATTTATCTGGAACTTCTTCCTTACTATGGAGATTGTAGTTCCCATTAAGCTCATTTGCCAGCTTGTAAACTCAATCTTGCTTTAAATGTATCTAAACAAAATTCAAAGACATTTAAAAATCTGAAATTTCTGCCACAATATGGGATTGTAATGTTCACAGAGCTCAAATGCCAGATTGTACATCTCAACATTACTGTAGACACATCTAAATAAAATCCAAATACTGAAGGTACACATGCCAGGCAACATATTACAATAAATACTATAAACAAAATGATTCCGATATTTAAATATGAAAGGCAGAATGTAAACATCTAAGAACAATGCCCCTCCCACCCTACCCCCAAAATATAGAAAAACCGGCTGCGAAATTGTTGCAATAACACTGATTCAGACGTCTGCAACATTTAAAACGCAGAAACATTTCATTCTATTACCACACTCATCCCTGCTTGCCCTTTCACCTTTTACAAGGCTACAACCTGTTCAGTTTATGTAAAAAAAAAAGAGAGTATGTAAGGAAATGAATAATTATTTAATCTCTCTCTCTCTGTCTCTCTGTGGGTGTGTGTGTGTGTGTGTGTGTGTAGAAAGAAAGACAGGAAGAGAGAGAGAGATAGAGAGAAAGGGGGTGGGGGGAAGATGGCTTCGCTCTGAACAAGAAAGACAACAGAAAGTAGTAGCCTTTATTACAGTAATAGATGTATGACGAGTGAAGTTAACTATTTGCTGAGTGGATGAGCCGCAGTAATTTTTAAATTCAGGATAAACCATAACAGGTATTCACTGTATGATGAGTTGCAGTAATGTTCAATGTAAGCATTCAGTAACTACTCTGTGATAAGCTGCAGTAACAGTTCAATGTAGGATGAATGCCAAACAATAAGTCTTCAATGTATGATGAGTGCAGTCACTACTCATAAGTCACACTAACCGCTGAGTGTGTGAACGAGCTGTGGTAAATGTTCAGCACATGATGTGTTGCGGTAACTGTTCAATGTATGATGAGTGCAGTCACTACTCATAAGTCACACTAACCACTGAGTGTGTGACGAGCTGTAGTAAATGTTCAGCACATGATGTGTTGCAGTAACTGTTCAATGTATGATGAGTACAGAACAGAATGCTGTTTATATTATAAATTACAGCTGACTGTCTGTAAGTTCGAAGGTGACTTATATATGGTCCCGGAGGGATCTAGGACAGTGTTTCTCAACCTTCCTAATGCTGTGATGCTTTCAGAGTTCTTAATATTTTGGTGACCCCCAATCATAAAATTATTTTCGTTGCTACTTCATAACTTCGGTGAATATGTGTTTTACAATGGTCTTAGGCGACCCTGAGAACCACCGATCTAGGACAATGACAGCATGGAACAATGTGTGTAGGTAAACAGTACAGTAACTGTTCAATGTAAGGAGAGCCACAATATTTCCTCAGTGCGTGATGAGTGGTAGTAGCTTGTGTTGCACACATGAGATGCTGTAATCATTCCGTTGAGTGTATGATGTGGATGACATGGTAGTGTTGTGTTTTCTAGGTGCCCTCCCCTGCAAGCATCTCTGCTGAAGCTACTAGTACGCACCTCACAATCTAACCATACACTGGACTCATACTGTATGTACACTGGCTATTATGCAAGAGAAAGAGCTGAATGCAGCAAACACAATGATAAATTAATACTTGTGGCCTGACAAATGCTGAATCCATTTGGTTGAAAAAAACAAAAAGTCAACGACCCTTTTAACGCTATAGATGCACTGGGGATATTCTTCTTCTTTTTCTTCAAATTTACCAGGCATTAAAAAAAAAAAATGGCCAAAAGTTCTGGTTGTTCATCCATTTCTGGATTTTGGTCTTGTTCCAGAACTTGAGTTTTGCAGTGCAAATCCTTTTTTTTTTTACAGACCTGGCTTACTTAAATGAAGACTGCTGGTTCCTTGCCTCTCAGGCAGATGCATTCCAACTTTGAAGGAAAAGGAGGGGGTGGGGGGGGGGGGGTCTCTTTTTATTCACCTTGTATGCTATGCTCTTGAAAATGGAGAGGGGGGGGGGGGGGGGGAGGGGGGGGGCTGTGGAACCCAAACAGAGACACTGAGGATATAAAGGTAGGCTCAGGTTTTCATAAATCAATCCCTACTCGATGAGTGATGTGGTTAACACAGCTTTTACTTCCTAGGACTTTGCTTGGTGCCAACTTTAGGCTGGGTTGACTTGGCAGCCGAAATCAATTATTAAAATACTGGACTCGATACAGATTTGAATCCATGACTTTCAGGCTGATAGGCAAGTATCTAGCTACTGCACCACCACAGCTCCTAATAATGAGCGAAAGAAACCCTCTACTCAAGCCTACCTCATCTACATGTGATAGGGCTGCACCAATGCAGTGGAGGGCTGGCCAACCCCTGGCATGAAAACGGATGGGACAACAAACGAAGTAATGGCAAAAATCCTTCTCCCAGCCAGTTGGGACAGAGCTGACACTTGCTCTTAAAAGATCCTGAGCCAGGAGGCTGATTGAAAAAACAAATATTACGCAACTCTCACTATTATGGATGACTATATCATCTGCTGCAAACTAACAGTACAGGTGTACAACCCGAGAGCTACCGGAACAACTAGTATCTATAACATATAATATTTGCTGCAGAAGACAGATCGTCTCTGAACATGTTCGGTGTGCTATGATGTCAATTCTTCTAGATCAATCAATCAATGCATTCTAACAACCAAAAACATATGTTCCACATACCAATTCAAAGCTGTGTCCCAAATAAAATATTATGCCAGCTCTCACATATCTTCTCTTCCACCTCAAGGGAGAGGGAGACACAGGTTAGGCTCTGAAGGGCTAACATTCCATATGCCTCCAGCAAATTCCCAATATTTGCAAGCCTCCATCCACATTACCAGCCTAGTTCAAAGAACTAGATATCCTTATATAAAAAAATGCATATCAATTCACTGTTGTCTGTTAGCTTAAATGTTCTGTCAACAGCTCTTACATATTAATCGTTTCCAATGTCTGATATCTTCGATATTACAAGCTAGCTTAGTACATCATAACTTTCTTACATATAACATTATGAACCGAGTCTTTATACTCACAATTTTACCGGCTTGCTAGATCCATTACATTATTAGAAGTTAACTCAGTACAACATATAATCTCACACATGCAACTTTCCAGGCTAATTCTGGACAATATATAGACCCAAACATCTAATATTACAAACTATACCATACAAACAACATTACAAGTTACAAACTAATTATATCATACAGTTCCATATATCCAACCTTATCAAATAACCCATAGATCCAACATTACAAACTGACTCAGCATATCAGTCTCTATACAACAGTACAAGCTAACTCAGTACACCACACAGCCTCCAGCATACAACATTACAAACTGACTCGGGACAGCAGTCTAATACACCCAACATTACAAGCTAATTACAACAGTCTCCAACATACAACATTACGGTGTTTGTTTTTTCCCCTCGACAGATCAAAATCATGGCACATGGGTGTAACCCACAAGTGCTCCGTTCTACTTCTAACACAAGCCTGAGTCTGAAGAATCTTAACTCAGTGCATGAACTCCGTTGTACCTGCGAGGGTCCTGAAATACTTTGGGTAGACTTTTAACTTATTTTTAACTTAAATTTTGCCCTGGAAGTGCCATTAGGCTACTCTTTTCGATTTCCAACTGCCAAGGATTTTTTTTTTTTTTTACGTGTGCAAGAATACACACGGGCATCCGATCTTACTACCCAGAGAACATAAAAAATTACTAGAAAAAATCCCAGCCTTCACTGGGGCTTAAACCCAGGACCTCCAGCACTCAAGATTGACACCATACCTCGAGACCACTCTGCCCCGATTGAAAAATTATAAGCTGATTCAGTAAAACAGTCTCATACATCCAACATTACAAGCTAATAGCAACAGTCTCCAATGTGCAACATTATTAGCTGACTTGGTACATCAGTCTCATACATCCAACATTACAAGCTAATTACAACAGTCTCCAATGTACAATATTACAAGGTGACTCAGTACATAAGACGATCTCCAACACACAATATATCAGTTACCACTGTCTGCCTTCCATATTATGCTTGTCTTCACAAAGACACATATAATTATGTAAGGTGTCCACCAGTCCTTAGTGCTACAATTCACATTCAAGGAGCCGTCCTCACATTATAAATAACACCAGCAATCACTGTCTCAACCACTGTCGTTGTCTCGGCCCCTGTCAACACAGCAGTAGCGGCAGAACAGTATGCCTCCCTCTTATAGAAAAACGCTCAGAGCTTCATCGTATTAACCAAAAATCTGTTTTCTGTAACAACAACACAAGAAGATAATTCCGCTGCGTGGGTTGGCTAAGATGATGGGGTTGTGGAAGAAGGCGATTCCGACATTGTCTTTAATGTTGTGTACACATTGTCCGCATGTGCCAGCCGCTCAAAGAACGGGATCAGGTCGAGGAGTTCTGAGTCATTCATCTCATCAAACCAAGAGCTCACCGCCACCTGTGGAAAAGTATATATCTATGGCTTTAGGATAGCAGACCAAATACAGCATGCAGCAGTGTGGCTTCAGAAACATAATCTCACCTTTATTTCTTTTATTTCTACACCCGAGATACCTATAAAAAGGTAAAAGGTAAAGTCGGGAGATGAGAACCAGCGTCATTGCACACTGGTTATAAACCATAAGTGCTTTGCCACCAGTACGGACAGCTGATAAGAATTGTCCGCCTGTATCACCGTTCGCACGTAACTCTGTAGCTACAGCAATGTTCCTCCATTTACCCCAGAGTGTCAACTCTGGTACCCATTTCCTAGAGGCTGGGTGAACCCCGGGAACTGCCCAGTTTCGAACACCAACCGTGGCTGCAGCAAGTCCCAGCTGAATTTGGAAGCAAGCCTCTTATCGACTGCGCTAACATGGCCCCTAAAGATACCTTTATTTCTATAAAATGCTATTCAGGTGTGATGGGAAATAAACAGGTAGACAGACGGCATAGTTCTGTACCACTGGGTAGTGAACTGATGTATGATTAGCTAAATATATGTAGTCAAGACCCTTTGGAAGCAAGCGAACAATGCTGAAGCATCAGTAGATCATTGTGGTCTATAGGACAGTGCAGCAGAGAGTGACTCAAGGTCACTCAATACTCATTGGAAAGGCAAGACGGACATATACTGCTAGTGGCACCATCAGGATTGGAACTCCTCAAGATGGGGAAGAAGCCCTTATGGAAATGATCTGAGAGCTGTGATGTAAGTTCTCAACTTAACTATTTGTTTACCTTAACAAAGGAACTCACAGTCAAATGAATAAAGGCAGACACCCTCCCCCCAAAAAACACACAAAGGGAATTGGAGAGTGAAAGTGAAAAAGATGGGACTTGGGGTGAGCTACAAATTATATACAGATATTTTTTTTAAAAGGACGTATTGGCTTGAGTGGGTTCAGGGTCTATGCTTCTTTAGGAAAATAAAGGAATAAAGACTGGAAGAAGAAAAAGGTAAGCACAAGAAAGGAAGGTGGGAGTGGGATTTAAGAGGTGTAATAACACCTTGTTGGCTCTGTGGCTAAGTCAATGCGAACACTTCGCTTTGTAATGCCGGGTTCGATCCCAGCTGCGGGCAATGCGCGTTGCGTTGGTTTCGACAGTGGTATAAAGAAAGCTAACCATCCAGAAAGCAATGGCAAACTACTGGACGTAAATTGCCTAGAGAAACCACACATTGGTTCTGCAACGTCCTGTAAAGGATACGCAACTTTAAAAAAAAAAAAAACACCTTAATTTACTAATAAAGTTTAAAATGGTGTAGTTTTAAGGGTATAACCTAATCATTATTTCTTAAACAAGAAAGTGAAGATGGTGATTTGGGATAGCTTCACTTATCAGGTCCACATTCAATTTAAGTAAATCTCTAGTGGCCTGTTACGGCATGTTTATTAGGAAGACAATGAGTTTATCACACCTCCACCCACCCCCACAACTGGGCCCCAAAACTGACATAAGGAAGAAGGTAAATATGGTATCTTGTCTTCTCCAATAATGGTGAAAAAACAGGACTCATGTGCATGTTAAAACCTGCTATGTAGTAAGTAGTATACTGGGTATATGGTGCTCGTCTAATATATTTAGACCAAATAAGGTTCGATAAATAATGTTGCTAAATTACACTGGTCACTTTTACTTCCTAGAAAAGTTCTACTATTAAGCAGGGCTGGCATAACAGCCTATGCACACATACACTGAGCTGAAAAAAAAGAAGAAAAAAAAAGACAGAGACAAAGTGTCAGAGAATGACATACAGAGAAAGTGAGAGACAGACAGAATTTGAAATCAACACAGAGTAAGAGAGTACTTACAGCATTTTCTGGATGGAAGATATACGATGCAGGCGAATTGTCTATAATAACAACCTGGTTCAAATCTCGGCCGAGCCGACTGAGGTCCTGAAAAAAATATGGAGAAGCATTCAGGATAAATGTTGACCATGTCAGTTCACAAAGTATCTGACCTGACTTATATCCCTCTAGAAACATGTCAAATTAAGCAAGTGAGGTGTCTTTCTGTGTGCAGGATGTAAGGAACCTTCAAGCATGTGTCTTCCTTTTTTTTCCCCATGCCTGCATTGTATGTCAGTCATGTGAAAATTCTGTGAACACTTAAGCAATTTAAGAATGCATTATGAAGTTGAAATATTACATTTCTTTGTAAGAAACACAACATTTCTAACAGCAAGCAGGCAAGTGTGTATGTAAGAAACACAACATTTCTAACAGCAAGCAGGCGAGTGTGTATGTAAGAAACACAACATTTCTAACAGCAAGCTTTTGAGTGTGTATGTAAGAAACACAACATTTCTAACAGCAAGCAGGCCAGTGTGTATGTAAGGAACACAACATTTCTAACAGCAAGCAGGCAAGTGTGTATGTAAGGAACACAACATTTCTAACAGCAAGCAGGCAAGTGTGTAAGTAAGGAACACAACATTTCTATCAGCAAGCAGGCCAGTGTGTATGTAAGGAACACAACATTTCTAACAGCAAGCAGGCAAGTGTGTAAGTAAGGAACACAACATTTCTATCAGCAAGCAGGCCAGTGTGTATGTAAGGAACACAACATTTCTAACAGCAAGCTGGCCAGTGTGTATGTAAGAAACACAACATTTCTAACAGCAAGCAGGTGAGCGTGTATGTTAAAAACACAACATTTCTAACAGCAAGCAGGTGAGTGTGTATGTAAGAAACACAACATTTCTAACAGCAAGCAGGTGAGTATGTATGTAAGAAACACAACATTTCTAACAGCAAGCAGGTGAGCGTGTATGTAAGAAACACAGCATTTCTAACAGCAAGCAGGTGAGTGTGTATGTTAGGAACACAACATTTCTAACAGCAAGCAGGTGAGCGTGTATGTAAGAAACACAACATTTCTAACAGCAAGCAGGTGAGTGTGTATGTAAGGAACACAACATTTCTAACAGCAAGCAGGTGAGTGTGTATGTAAGAAACACAACATTTCTAACAGCAAGCAGGCCAGTGTGTATGTAAGAAACACAACATTTCTATCAGCAAGCAGGCGAGCGTGTATGTAAGAAACACAACATTTCTAACAGCAAGCAGGTGAGCGTGTATGTAAGAAACACAACATTTCTAACAGCAAGCAGGCGAGCGTGTATGTAAGAAACATAACATTTCTAACAGCAAGCAGGCGAGTGTGTATGTAAGAAACACAACATTTCTAACAGCAAGCAGGCGAGTGTGTATGTAAGAAACACAACATTTCTAACAGCAAGCAGGCGAGTGTGTATGTAAGAAACACAACATTTCTAACAGCAAGCAGGCGAGTGTGTATGTAAGGAACACAACATTTCTAACAGCAAGCAGGCGAGTGTGTATGTAAGGAACACAACATTTCTAACAGCAAGCAGGCGAGTGTGTATGTAAGAAACACAACATTTCTAACAGCAAGCAGGCGAATGTGTATGTAAGAAACACAACATTTCTAACAGCAAGCAGGTGAATGTGTATGTAAGAAACACAAAATTTCTAACAGCAAGCAGGCGAGTGTGTATGTAAGAAACACAACATTTCTAACAGCAAGCAGGCGAGCGTGTATGTAAGAAACACAACATTTCTACCAGCAAGCAGGCGAGCGTGTGTGTAAGAAACACAACATTTCTAACAGCAAGCAGGCCAGTGTGTATGTAAGGAACACAACATTTCTAACAGCAAGCAGGCAAGTGTGTATGTAAGAAACACAACATTTCTAACAGCAAGCAGGGGAGCGTGTATGTAAGAAACACAACATTTCTAACAGCAAGCAGGCGAGCGTGTATGTAAGAAACACAACATTTCTAACAGCTAGCAGGCCAGCGTGTATGAAAGAAACACAACATTTCTAACAGCAAGCAGGCGAGTGTGTATGTAAGAAACACAACATTTCTAACAGCAAGCAGGGGAGCGTGTATGTAAGAAACACTATATTTCTAACAGCAAGCAGGCGAATGTGTATGTAAGAAACACAACATTTCTAACAGCAAGCAGGCTAGTGTGTATGTAAGAAACACAACATTTCTCACAGCAAGCAGGCGAGTGTGTATGTAAGAAACACAACATTTCTAACAGCAAGCAGGCGAGTGTGTATGTAAGAAACACAACATTTCTAACAGCAAGCAGGCGAGTGTGTATGTAAGGAACACAACATTTCTAACAGCAAGCAGGCGAGTGTGTATGTAAGGAACACAACATTTCTAACAGCAAGCAGGCGAGTGTGTATGTAAGTAACACAACATTTCTAACAGCAAGCAGGCGAATGTGTATGTAAGAAACACAACATTTCTAACAGCAAGCAGGTGAATGTGTATGTAAGAAACACAACATTTCTAACAGCAAGCAGGCGAGTGTGTATGTAAGAAACACAACATTTCTAACAGCAAGCAGGCGAGCGTGTATGTAAGAAACACAACATTTCTACCAGCAAGCAGGCGAGCGTGTGTGTAAGAAACACAACATTTCTAACAGCAAGCAGGGGAGCGTGTATGTAAGGAACACAACATTTCTAACAGCAAGCAGGCAAGTGTGTATGTAAGAAACACAACATTTCTAACAGCAAGCAGGGGAGCGTGTATGTAAGAAACACAACATTTCTAACAGCAAGCAGGCGAGCGTGTATGTAAGAAACACAACATTTCTAACAGCTAGCAGGCCAGCGTGTATGAAAGAAACACAACATTTCTAACAGCAAGCAGGCGAGTGTGTATGTAAGAAACACAACATTTCTAACAGCAAGCAGGGGAGCGTGTATGTAAGAAACACAACATTTCTAACAGCAAGCAGGCGAATGTGTATGTAAGAAACACAACATTTCTAACAGCAAGCAGGCTAGTGTGTATGTAAGAAACACAACATTTCTAACAGCAAGCAGGCGAGTGTGTATGTAAGAAACACAACATTTCTAACAGCAAGCAGGCCAGTGTGTATGTAAGAAACACAACATTTCTAACAGCAAGCAGGCCAGTGTGTATGTAAGAAACAGAGAGGGAGAGACATCTGAGTAAAAGCTATATAGAATACTCACTTTAACATAATTTCCCCTATGAAAGACACAAGATTCCCTGAAAAGACGGCAACGGAACACATTCCACCTGTCTAGCAAATCTGCCACAGGATCTGCATACTGCAAAAAAAAAGAAAATAAAAAACAAAAACGTAAAGATCAATACAACACGGATCTTGTGTGTCTGTTACATTCTTCTTCTATATTCACCATTAAAAGGGTAATTTCCCCCCCTCAGAATGGGACCCTAGAAACTAACATCTCAGGGCCAGTAAACTCCATTTACTCCGGAGCCATGATGCTGGAAAATGGGTACTGTATAAAATGGGTCCTATAGCAGGAGAGAAGCTTGAGCCCCAGCCTAGACAGATCATTAATATAATATAGTCGGCAGGTAATTCGCAGGCCACTTGTTAGGCCTTTGTGGGTCAGATCTGGCCCATGGGCCACCAGATAAATAGCCCTGGCCATACTGGGATGTTACATTCAAAGTTGCATGTATGGATATGTAGCCTTTATTATCCTCATCCTGTTATACCTTACCCAGGGCCCACAGTCCAGTCCTCCATTCCATTCCATCCTGTGCTTTTAACATAATGGATGGAAACTGTACGTTACCAGCCCTTTAGTTCACCAATTATATGTCAAAGTGCACAAGGCTGAACCTTAACAGCACATACTGAATCTTGTCTGTCTGTACACTCATGCTGCCTGGTTGAATATCTTCCTCATCTTCTTCTTTGCATTCCCTGGCTGTAAACTCCAGGTGAAAGTTCTGGTTGTTCATCCACTTCTGGACTTCAGTCTTTCTCCAGAACCTGAGTGTTGCGTACAAACCCATTTTACAGATCTGGCTTATTTGTATGCAGACTGTTGGTTACTTGTCTCTCAGGCAGATGCACTATAAACCGAAGGGGTGTATTCTTCAAATGCTTTGTGTATCAGGAACAACACATCAACCACGTATAAAAGAATTTCTAACCACTAAACAGCGGCAGCTGATGTGGTATTAGCTGAAAATTGTAATTATGGGACATCGGAGCTAACAAATAAACTACTGTCTTCATTTGTGTTTTTTTTGTTTTGTTTCTGTTTTTAGTTAGCTCTCAGACAGTCTATGAAATCATTTCCTCTGTTTTGGTGGGCTGCAAGTGTAAAACAGTTGGAGGAACTCGCTGCTCTAAAAAAATACCAGAATAGGTTCACTGTAAATTAACAAGCATGTCAAAAAGGCAGAGATATCACAGCCTAGATTTAAACCATGAGTCTCAATGTGCAAAAGCTCTCTTCAGGGGGCAAACGAAACAAAGATTTCCCACCTCCAAGGATTTTTAACACAACCTATGAGTTCTTTTCGGCCTGTTGTGAGAAAGTTTGATGTTTAATAAACTACTCTTAGATGTGGGGAAAAGGACTGGGTTTAGGCACCAAAGGTGGGTCATAACCTTAGATCTACCTCCCCACGTCTAAAAAAAACACATCAAGACAAATGGGAAACAGAAATCTCAAACCTTGGCAAGGCTTGCTGTGAACAGCACACATTCAAAAAGCTCTCCCATTCGCTGCAAGAATTCGTCCACATGCGGCCGCTTCAACACATAAACCTGATGTGAAAAAATTCAACAATTAGTGATACACATCCTCTTCTTAGCGTTCCCCAGCTATATCTGTATTAGCAAGTTCTTGTTCGTTCACTACTGAATTTTTTCCTTGTTTTAGAACTGAGTTCTACATGCACATTTATTTTACAGATCTTGCTTATTTTATGCAGACTGTTGGTTCCTTGTCTCTTAAGCAGATGCACTCTCAGTGAAGGAAACATCCTTAATTAGTTGTCTCTTAAGACATGCTTATTGGGGTGAGGGCACTGGGTTCAATCCCCCCCCCCCCCCTCCTTACCCACCAACAATGGGGCCCAGGAATCCACACAGAGAACATACATCTAGAGTATTCAGCATTTCCTCTTCTGTACCCCCCCCCCCCCATCCCCCATGTTGTGCTGTTTACAGCTGGGCTCTGATATCTGTGCATTTTGGCCCAAAACATCCAATTGCAGCAAATCCCTTATTTGTCAAATTGTACAGCCTGTTTTTTAGGGGACAGTGGGTCTATTATCCCCCTCACCTCCTAAGTGGGGACCTCGAACCCACACCAGGTAATGGGCATATAAAGGCCCTAGCACCAGCCTACCATCTTCCAGGTTACAGTTTCTGCTTGATATTCCTCAAAGTTAGCAATGGGTAAATCTTCTTCTTCTTCTTCTTCGATCCTTCTGTCAGAAAACTTATATCAGGAGGCCGGTAGCCTTTATGAAAGCTATCGTGCAATCCATATCCTCTTGTGTACCATACAGTTTTGTCTTCAGTGTGGTTGGAACAGGCCAGATTGCGTCTCTGTTGTCAGCATACAGTTGACAGTGTTGGAGCACATGCTCAGCATTTTCGGGTGCCACGCTGCAGGGACACGTCTCCGTATTTCCTACACCGAAAAATTTGAACATATGTTGACGAAATCTGTTGTGCCCCTGTCCTTAGTCTGAATATAATAGACTGTCCCTCTCTAGAGAGGCGATGAAGTGAGTCTTGGGGAGAAAATCTGGTGTGGGTATCCAGCCACCTTTCTTGGATACTAGATTGTATTAGTGTTTTCATCTCTTGGTGGGTTAAGTCGCTATTTGGTTGTACCATGTCACTGCCCGCTTCTGGCCAATCTGTCCGCTATTTCATTGCCTTCCAAGCCACAGTGACCTGGAATCCACTGCAGTACAGATTGTTCTACTGAAGAGCCTAAGTAAATCAGCTGTTGCGTCAAGTCTACAAACTGAGTGTCTTTTGGGTTAACAATGCTTGTAGAACTGACATAGCATCAGTCAGAAAGACCACTCTGCTATATTTGCTGTGCTGTTGTCCATTCAGGAAAGAACATGCTGCTAGAAGTGCTTCTGCCTCTGCTCTGTAATTGGAGGAATATGAACCTGTTGGTACAGCCTGGTTGATTTTTAAACCATTTGGGCATTCTATGTATATTCCTCCTCCTCCGTCTCTTACTGCTCTCTTGGCTGAACCATCTGTATACACTCGAATCCAACTCTGGTGTGGGTAAAGTCTATTGATCTCTCCTTCTGTAGTTGATTTCATATCAGTGCTGCTCATTGATGATTTGGAGGAGACGCCTGTTACAGTGGTTCTGACTGTTGGTAGGCTATCCCTAAGCCAAGCGGGGGCAGTCGTTGTAAGGTTTAAAGTGGAACGTTTGGTATTATGGGAGGGAGTTTAAGGACAGCGAGCTTGGCATTTGCGTTCTTAATAAAGCAAGTTCTCTTTAGTCTAGCCTTCTGGGGTTTCTGTAGTCGGCTGTACATGGGTTGTTCTTGAAAGTGGTGGTATGTGGAGAGCTGGGTGAGGATCTTTGTGTCTCTCCTATCTTCCAGATTATGGAGACCAGTAATTGTTTCCATATCTTATATGGGCGTGGAGCGCATTGCCCCTGTCATAATACGGAGAGCATGGTTTTGGATCTTTGAGACTTTCTGAAAATTTGATTTAGCTGCTGTGCCCCAAGCAGCTATTCCATATTCTAGTGTTGGCCTCACATAGCCTGTATAGGTCTTCTTAAGGACATTGAGGTTTGCCCCCAGTCTGTTCCAGCTAACTTCCTCATCAGTTGTGTTCTCTTGAGTCCCTTGCTCTGTGTCTTTTCTATCTGTTTTCTCCATGTGAGTCTTGAGTCAAAGGTTACTCCTAAATATGACGGTGAGTCATCATGTATCAGTGCCTGGCTGCCATATCTAAGTGAAACTTTCTGGGGTTTGGTAGAGAGACTGAAAATGGTGTGTGTGGTTTTGGCCCCATTTACAGGCATGTACCAGCTATTGGACCACCTCTCTAGAGTTCCGAGGGATTCTTGAAGCCTTGTTTGTGCTTTTTCAGTGTCCTCCTCTGAACAGATCATCGGCATACATAACGGCTTGAACTCCATTACAGAGGGTTGATTTTATGTCGTTAATGTAAACTAGGAAAAGAATTGGGGACAGAACTCCGCCTTGTGGAACTCCATGTGTCATTGAGACTGATCTGCTCCTTGAACCCTGTATCTTGACTCTTGCAGATCGATTTTCAAGATATTTTACGATCCACCCAAGCATGTGATGGGATATTCCACTTTCAAGTAGCTTTTGTTTCAGCCCATTTTTCCACACTTTGTCAAAGGCCTTTTCCATATCCACCCAAACTGCAATAGTGTGCTTTTTTTCCTGAAATGCATCTTCAATGTGTTGAGCAATAAATGTAATTTGGTCTTCTGTTGATCTACAACGTCGAAAACCTGCCTGTTCCTCCATTAGTTTGACGTTTAATGAGCTGAGTATGATTTCTGTGGGTCATGAAGTATGTACACACACCTGCTAGATGATGATGATAACCCAAAAAAGGCTCAGTGCAAATATTCCTATATACAGGTAGGTAGGTGTAGACACTAGCTTTTTGGGTAGGCAGGTGTGGGTAGCCAGGTGCAGACACCAGCTATATGGGAAAGTAGTGGAGAAAGGTGGGGGGTTAGGAAATTGGGAAAAGAAAGAGAGGAAAGAAAGAAATGAGGGTTAGAAAGGTAGTGATGAAAGGAGGAAGGAAAAGGAAAGGAGGAAGGAAAGTGAATGAGGTAGGAAAGACAGAAGGGACGGAAAATGGGGGGAAGGGAAGGTTAGGAAAGAAAGGATAACGATAATAATGTAGAGGAGTGGAAGAATGTAGAAATGGATTTTAAAAAAAGGAAGGAAGGACGAAAGAAAGAAAGAAAGAAAGAAAGAAAGAAAGAAAGAAAGAAAGAAAGAAAGAAAGAAAGAAAGAAAGAAAGAAAGAAAGAAAGAAAAGAAAGAAAGAAAGAAAGAAAGAAAGAAAGAAAGAAAGAAAGAAAGAAAGAAAGAAAGAAAGAAAGAAAGAAAGAAAAAAAAAAAAAAAGAAAAAAAAACACAGAGAGGTGTCAGGGTCACAAATCAATTATCTCACCTGGTGTACTGTGCCATCAATTTCCACAGGAACAATAAAATCAGCATTACTGATAGGCTGAAATCAAACAGAACACACACCTGATCATGTACACACAAGGATATGACAGCACAACCTTACATACTATAATGGCCCACATTTTCTTCTTCACACTCACTAGCCGTAAAGCTGTAAACTCTGGCAGAAAAGCTCTGGTTGTTTGTCCACTTCTGGACTTGAGTTTAGCATGCACCTCAGTTTACAGATCTGGCTAATTTGTATGCAGACTGCTGGTTCCTTGCCTCTCATGCAGCTGCACTTTGACTTTGAAGGAAACATCCCTAATTAGTGTACCACTTCATATACCAATTATAACTCAGATCTGGAACTCAGAACACTGCACCTGTGAACAGGCTTCACGAAACACCAAACCCTGTGTTGCAGACATACTCTCTACATGAGACCTCAGGTCTAGCCAGTCGCATTCTGGTGGAAACCAAGCTGTATGGATAAGTGGAGGACATGCCTTGCACCACAGACTTCACAGAGTCATGTGACCTTCTCATCTAAATATCACTGGTAGGTATGCTGCTGCGGGCCAGATTTCTTCTCTCTACACAAAAATGTTAACACCAACTGCCATGTCAGCGTCTTTTGCTCTTTAACCCTGCTTTCTCAACCCTCTGTTCTATTTTCTTTCCTCTCTTTCTTCATCCTTTCCTATTCTTTTTGTTTTCTCCTTTTCTCCACTGCTTCTTTCCTTCTATTTTTCTTTCCTTTCTTCACCTTCTTCAGTTCTTTTTTCTCCTTCTTTCCTCTTCTTCTTCCTTTCTCCCACTCCTGCAATGACATTTGTTGAAAATAGCATAATATATTGTAATATCAAATTAGTACTGCTGTGTGGATCAGAAATACGATGACTCTAACAATTACTCATAAACTTCACATAATCAGATGCTTGGTCTTGGGTTAAAATCCATTTCGAGCTGCCTTTTTAATAATTTACCAGGGTTCCCAGGCTATACCATCCTAAAATGGATATTCAGAAGTGTCTCAGGAAGCAACCAGTGTGATGTCGACCATATCTTCCATCAAGTACTGACAGGTCTATCATCAATATTAGCCTGGCACCAAATGCCTGGGATCTGCAGTAGTATAGATGCTAGATACTCACCTGCTGGCTCAAGGGTCTTGGCTTCGATCCGTTTCAGAACTAATTTTTGTTTCTAAATTTACCATGTCGACTCAGCCTTGAAAAGGAACAGGTAACCTCCTGGAAGTAAATGTGGCCGGCGTGATGCTGACCACATCAACCACTGAGAGCGGTCCAGTTTTAAAAAAAACCTTGACTCTAGCATCGTATGCCCGATGCGCCACTGGCCTGATAAGGGTCTTATACTCACGTGTTAGTTAAATATATAACCAATGTGCAAATGAGGTGAGAAAGATCTTTTACTATATTACTAAAAGACAAACGATCAATGCAATCTTTTTACCAGAACTGTAATAGTGAAAAACCTGGGCACTAATAAAAGAACAAGAGCGGAAACTAACAACGTGAGAAAAGCAGTCAACATAACAAGAAGAGACTAAAAGAAACAAAGATATTAGAATGGTGGTAACACCATCTGTAATTAGATTTACTGAAAAGACTGAAATGGTTTGGCCATTTGGTCAGAATGTGCACAGCATCACCAGCATACAACATGAGAATGGAAACATGGTCTTCAAGGATTTGAAAGAATAGTAACTTAAGTCATGGCTTCTGTGAAAAAGAGAGAGAAGAACAGGCAGAAGAGAGATTGCACGTGCATACATGAGACAGAGAGGGTGGGAGGGAGGAAAAGGAGAGAGGGGGAGGAGCAAGAGAGAGAAATGGTAAAGCACACAGAAAAAAATAAATAAAACGCAGAAAGAGAAGACAGAAAACCGCATTCATGCGTGCAGGCAGACAAACAATGAGCCAAAGTGGAAAATAAATAGAGAGAGGGGGAGAGAGAGAGAGAGAGAGAGAGAGAGAAAGAGACAGAGAGAGAAACAGAAAGAGAGGTGGAAAAGAGAGGATGAAAGAGCATTATGACAATGAGAAAACATCCAGACTGGCAGAAATTACCTTAAAAGAACTATGTACAAGTGTCTCGTCTAGGTCTATAACTACACACTTCCGGTTCAGGTCTTGAAGCCGCGCCGTTGGCAGGAGATATTTCTCTGATGTCTGAAACATCAAGGTGGTGACAGTTAAGTAGTGCCAGGACAGTACAGGCAGAATTACACACACTGAGACTATGTACAATTATAATAATGTACAATAAGCACAAAGAATGAAAATAATGAGCAGACAGTTACAATCAATAATGATAATTAATGAGCATACAGTTACATCAAAATAATGATGAGAATTAATGTGACAAGTTAAAATAAAGTACTGTTACATTAAATAATAATGAGTATGTGAGATAAGTTAACATAACATAAATACAATACATTATTATGTGAAAAAATAAGACAGACAAAAAAAGTATGGTTTCATTAAACAATGATGAGAATTCAGGAGACAAGCTAAAATAATGTACCGTTACATTAAATAATAATGAGTATGTGAGATAAGTTAGCATAACATAAATACAATACATTATTATGTGAATTAATAAGACAGAAAAAAAAGTATGGTTACATTAAACAATGATGAGAATTCAGGAGACAAGCTAAAATAAAGTACTGTTACATTAAATAATAATGAGTATGGGCCATGAGATAAGTTAGCATAACATAAGCCAGACTTTTTTTTTTCAACAATACATTATTATGTAAATTAAAGTAAGACAGCAAAAAAAGTATGGTTACATATAAAACAATGAATGTGGCGTCCGTGAATTCAGGAGACAAGCTAAAAAAATCCAGTACTGTTTACATTGTCGTAACCATAATAATGAGTGGTGTGAGAGGAAGTTAGCATAACATAAATACAATACATTATTATGTGAATTAATAAGACAGAAAAAAGGAACGCATCATACGTATAGGTTCCTATTAAACAATGATGAGAATTTTATTAATTTCTTTACTACCCCCAGGAGACAAGCTAAACTTTTATAATGTCAATACCGTTACAGGCGTAAATAATCTTTTATAATGAATTACATTAAATATGTGAGTATAAGTTAAAATAACATACATACAATACAAATTATTATGTGAATTACAAATAAGACAGAAAACAAATTGAAAATCATGGTTACATTAAACAATGATGAGAATTCAATAGACAATCTAAAATCTAGTATAATTTGCCTTTGTAGTTATTGTTGCATTAAAAATAATGAGAATTTGCATCGGCCATGTCAAAATATTATAGTTACATTAAATAATTTGGGTCGATCAGGGTCGTGGTTCTTTAAGATAGCGTGTCCTGATTAAGCCAGTCGTACTTTTTGTTCAAATAGTGAACCTTGACTCCTTTCACTGTCGACCCAGTCCTGTCTCACGAGACAAGTACACTGGTGCAGTCCTAGGAAGTAAAAAGAGCACCGCATGCTGTGTGTTCTGCACCACATGGGTCGAATCAAATACTTTTCTGAAACTGTTTGGTAGCCCGATTTGTTCATAACTAGAGGCATTCATGACCCAAATTACCACTGTAGATTACATTCAATAATGGCGACAAGCAATGAGCCAGCTGGAAATATGTATAGTTATGAAAATTGATAAAATGAGTGTTAAATTACATTAAGTAATGATGAGAATTGCTGAGATAAAATAACAGAGTAATAATGAGAATGAGCCAAGTTGAACTAATATAGTGACATTAAATAGTAAGCTGAGCAGACATATGTAGTTACATTAAACAATGGAGAGAAATAATGAACCAAATGAAAATAATGTATAGTTATGTAAAATAATGAGAAATAGTGAATAAAATGATGGCTTTATGGAACATTTGTGGTATGGGGGATAAAGTGGCTGAATTGGTTGAATTTAATACGGCCAGAAGATCCAGAAAACTGTCACTCACATCACGCGAGAGGCACAAAACAAATATTTTAAACCACGACACTGGGCTGCAACCCGGTAAAAGTGAAGAAGACATTAGATAGATAGATAGTGAATAAAAGGCATATTTCACAAAAGAGAGGGATATACAGTCGGATGAACAATATGAACAAGATGAAAGAAACTCTACAATACTACAATGTGTCTATGGTCAAGAAAGCTGAAACAGCACTAATCACAACCTTGTAATGCCCTCTATTCCAAATAAACAGTATAAGAGGAAGTGAAGAAGAAAGAAGAAGGAGGCAAATGAGACAAAATCATGTCCCCACTTGTGTAATGACGGTTCTTAAAATAACTTTATCTGAATACTCTGAGAAAACCTGAGAACAATACAACTAGAAGGGCTTTAAACTGGAACCTACAGGGGTATAGAAATATAGGTACAAAATCACACAGAGGAGGGAACTAAAGAGTGAAGTTAACAATACGAAGAGGAAAGGGTTGAGCTGCATGCAAAGGACAGGACGCCTTGGAGTGAGTTGGTTAAAGACCTCTTAGGTTTAAACAACAGATCAACATCACGGCATAAGGGTATAACCCACAAGTGCTCTGTTCTAATTCTACCTCAAATATAGTCTGAAGAATCTCAGCGCTTTGCACGAACTATGTAGCACTGGCGAGGATCCTGAAATACTTTGGGTAAAGACAAATACTCCATTGGGTGAGTGATAAAGGGCAGAAGAAAAAAGAACAAGAACTCAATCAACACAATGAGAGTAATCTCACCCTAGGATTGCCATTCTCCTCAGGCAGCTGTGGCTGGCAGTTGCTGGAAGCATTGTTGTTGTTGTTGTTGCTGGTGTTGCTGTTGCGGAAGCAGCAGAGGATGGAGCTGAACAGGCCACGACTCCTGGGTTTCTTGGCAACTGGGGTGGTGGTGACAGCTGCCAAACCTGCAAATGTCCAAAATTATCAATATAATAAAACAACAACTGGTGGCTTCATCTGCTTTTGTGAATGGACTTTAAAGTTCCAATGACACCAATAGCTGTGCCGAAAGAACAAACTCTATTTTCAAAGGGTTACAAATCAGGCATGCAGGTCTGTCTTAAATTCGGTGGTACCAACCAATCATCTTTTACACACAACAGTAGCAGCAGCTCAGCTTTGGCAGGGTCTCCCATGATGGACAGACCTAGGAACAGGAGCCAAAGACACAATCTTGCTGACTTGTAGGTAGCTGGAGACAAAGGCTAGGGTCTCCTATGACAGACAGACCTAGGAACAGGAGCCAAAGACACAATCTTGCTGACTTGTAGGTAGCTGGGGACAAAGGCTAGGGTCTCCCGTGACAGACAGACCTAGGAACAGTAGCCAAAGACACAATCTTGCTGACTTGTAGGTAGCTGGAGACAAAGGCTAGGGTCTCCTGACAGACAGACCTAGGAACAGGAGCCAAAGACACAATCTTGCTGACTTGTAGGTAGCTGGAGACAAAGGCTAGGGTCTCCTATGACAGACAGACCTAGGAACAGGAGCCAAAGACACAATCTTGCTGACTTGTAGGTAGCTGGAGACAAAGGCTAGGGTCTCCTGACAGACAGACCTAGGAACAGGAGCCAAAGACACAATCTTGCTGACTTGTAGGTAGCTGGAGACAAAGGCTAGGGTCTCCTATGACAGACAGACCTAGGAACAGGAGCCAAAGACACAACCTTGCTGACTTGTAGGTAGCTGGGGACAAAGGCTAGGGTCTCCTATGACGGACAGACTAGAAACAGGAGCCAAAGACACAACATTGCTGACTTGTAGGTAGCTGGAGACAAAGGCTAGGGTCTCCCGTGAAAGACAGACCTAGGAACAGGAGCCAAAGACACAACATTGCTGACTTGTAGGTAGCTGGAGACAAAGGCTAGGGTCTCCTATGACGGACAGACTAGAAACAGGAACCAAAGACACAACCTTGCTGACTTGTAGGTAGCTGGAGACAAAGGCTAGGGTCTCCTATGACGGACAGACTAGAAACAGGAGCCAAAGACACAACCTTGCTGACTTGTAGGTAGCTGGAGACAAAGGCTAGGGTCTCCTATGACGGACAGACTAGAAACAGGAGCCAAAGACACAACCTTGCTGACTTGTAGGTAGCTGGGGACAAAGGCTAGGGTCTTCAATGACAGACAGACCCAGAAACAGGAGCCAAAGACAGAACATTGCTGACTTGTAGGTAGCTGGGGACAAAGGCTAGGGTCTCCTATGACGGACAGATTAGAAACAGGAGCCAAAGACACAAGCTTGCTGACTTGTAGGTAGCTGGGGACAAAGGCTAGGGAAAGCAAACCCAGAGACAAATGCTTGTAAAAACGGGGTGTGCTGAGCCACCAACCTGACTTCCTTTGCATTTTATCCTTAAATGGCAGTTGTGTTATACTTAACAGCTAGGCAGTGATATATGTGCCTTTTGATTCAATATATCTGACATCAGTAAACTCCCTTGCTTAGGAGACAAATGTCTTCGTTTAGGAGGCAAATGTCTTCATCTAGGATTCAAATGGCTTTGTTTATAAGGCAACTGTGTATGTCTAGGAGACGAATGTCTTTGTCTAGACATCAAACGTCTTTGCCTTGGAGTCAAATGTCTTTGGCTAGGAGGAAATTGTCTTTGTTTAGAAGTCACATGTCTTCGCTGGAAAGATGGACAAAATTAGCTGATGACACCTTGTCGCAACATTAGAAGTCAATCAATCAAAGGTGCAATTTTCACAATAAAGGCTGGTTACAATAGATCTCTAACACTCTCTGTCTCCTTAATGGCTGTATACTCTTTGAGTCTGCTGTTCATCCATCTCTTTTAGTTCACCCCATCTCAGGAACATTGAGATTTTGTGGGGAGTTTCAGAGATAGTCCAATAATATACGGGTGTTAAGGTATGACATGAATATTAACAAACTCTAAACCAACACTCCCCTGTCTTTCCCAGAAACTCCCCATGAAATCTTGGAGTCCCCAAGAAGGGGAGAAATAAATGAAAAGTACCTCCACCTCTTGATGTCACCTTCCCTTTTGTATCACTGCCTACCAGATTATATATCAGCATCTTTTTTCCCAACTGAACTGTACGTTTGTATATTTGAATGTAAGAATCTGCCATATATGCTTTAATGTTTTTATTTGATATTCAAAGTATGTACATAATTACAACATACTTTATAGAAAAAATACTACTGCTGGGTGAAAGATGAATGCCTGAATGGGTTGAATGTAAGACAAGCCTGTGCTCAAACTATCACCCTTTGAAAATAAAGTGTGCTTGTTCGACATCCTGAATTTACACTGAACAGCCCAGCTTTTATCTTGACAGGCCGTTATTAATATCACGTTTAGCAGCACAGATATGACATAAAGATTATGAAATACTAAATCTTTATCAGACAAGAGTACACACAGCTTGGCAAATTTTATCATGTTCAATGTCAAATAAGAAAAAAGTGTGAAATGCTGTCATAACGTGTATGTTACTGAGCTGTATTACCAGATTATTTCATAAAACTCTTGAAGAAAAATGATAGGGATTAACTTATTTACACTTTACTAACTAACATAAGAATAAAGCATTTCTTTTTCTTCTTTCACATTTAATAGTCTTCTTCTTCTTCGTGGTCACCGGCTGTAAACTCTGGCGGAAAGTTCTGGTTGTTCATCCACTTTTAGACTTCAGTCCTGTTCCAAAACCTGAGTGTTGCGTGTGCATCCGTTTTACAGATCTGACCCACTTGTATTACAGATCTGACCCATTTGTATGCAGACTGCTGGTTCCTTGCCTCTCAGGCAGATGCACTCAGACTTTGAAGGAAGCTCCCAATTAGTCAACTCTTACATGTATTTGGGTAGGCAGTGGGTCTATTCTTGTTTTCCATATTATAGAGCCCCGGAACCCACACGGGGAACATTTAATAGTGAGGTTGGCATCTTGTGTTGTGGTTGACATCTTGATCTGATTTAGGGAGCTGCCGTGGTGTAGTGCCAAGACACTCACCTGAAGACTGGAAGGTCACGGGTGGGAGTCAGAATGGAACCAGACTTTTTGTGGTCAACATCACGCCGGGCATCTTTACTTTCCCGGACATTACCTAATACCCATATTTAAGGCTGGATCAAGTGGAAGCCAAAGGATATTTTCAAGAAAATCCGCCACAATAGGGATTTGAACACCTGCAGGCGAGCATCTAGTCACAGTGAGTCTCTGCATGTTCCAACCCCCTTCCCCCCCCCCCCCCCCCCCCCCACATCCATTTGAGGGCGCCTGGTCAAAAACCCAAACTACTGCTCCACCTACATGCTTACATCCTCTATTACAAATGAAGTGCTTCTTTTTCTGTGTCCTATCTAAGAAGGATGGTTGGCACTGTGTTGTGATTTACAGCTAGGCTGTGATTTATGCCCTTTTCAGCTCAACACCACCAATTTCGGCAAACTTTTAATAAGTCTCCTTCAATAACATGCCTGTTAACTCAATGGGTACCAAGGAATGCATCAAAAGTTGATTTACAACTAATTTCCCTGACCTCTGGTACTGCTGGAGTTAAGTGGTGAATCTTCCTAGCCACAGGTTTACAGTATCTATTACAACCAATTTATAAACATAAAGCATGTATCCCAGTCTGTAAGGACATAAATATTGCCCCCTATTAATTCTTGGGTACCATGGATTGCATCACAAGTTGATTTACAACTAATTTCCCTGTCCTCTGGTACTGATGGAGTTAAGGGTTGAGTTTCTCTAGCTGCTCGTTTACATTTTCTATTTCGACAAATGAATTTACCTAATGTATATACCCCAGTCTGCAAAAAGAGAAAAACTGGGCCACCCAATAATTTCTCCACTACTCCCCTGCACATCTTGCAGCCAAAAAAGAATACATCCAGCTTACTGTGAAACCGGCAGTATGAATTATGGGTTCTGGGAGTCTCAGTGTGAGGGAAACAATAACCGTCCTGCTGCCTCCCCAACAAACATGTCCTAGGAGTCATCTAATTTGGGGCTTCCTTCGAAGTCGGAGTGCATCTGCCTGAGCGGCAAGGAACAACCAACTGCACACAAATAAGCCAGTAAAACAAATTTTCACGCAAAACTCAAGCCCTGGCACATAGCCAGAGCCCAAATGACAAAAACCAGGACTTTCTACTGGAGCTAACAGCCAGTGAACAAGAAGAGGAAACACAGAGGCCAGGAAAAAAATCTCTGACAGTATGGAATGGGATTTGCAGCAACAAAATTCATTGATGGGATCAAGTGGGAGTCCAACCAGAGAAAATGACACAATATCTACCTAAGACCTCAGTCAACAACTATTACTGGACCAAAATACCAACATCAGGATAGGTAAGGCAGCAATAACAATGAGCAGATTTTTTTTTTTTAAGTTTGGGAGAATAGAAAGCGCATGGTTAAAACAAAATCCATTGTCTATCACTTATGTTTTCAGCAATTTTCTTTGTGGAATATGGTTCAGTCCCTAAGGACATTATTTCTGGTAAAGATGGCTAGAAGATGATAAAGATGTATATATGTGGTACATGAATGATACAGGCGCTGAGTAGGATTAGTGGGAACAGGGTGCAATGGACAATGATGCAAGGAGGAGGAAATCAAGGAGGGGAAAAGAATAAAGGAGAAAAAAGATTGTAGATTGGTGCTGAGTGTATGAAAAGTAGCCAGTTACATAGATGCAATTGTAGATAGGTTAAAAGCTGAATGTATAAGAAGTAACCAGTTACATAGATGCAATTGTAGATAGGTTAAAAGCTGAGTGTATGAGAAGTAACCAGTTACATAGATGCAATTGTAGATAGGTTAAAAGCTCTGAGTGTATGAGAAGTAGCCAGCTACCTACATGCAATGGTTCTGAAAATGCCCCCCTGGCATCAAGTTTCGATGAAGGGGAAAATCCCAACTGCACCTCCTCATGGTGGAGGATGGAAACACACCACGGTGTGGCTAACCCAGCCTTGGGGACTGAGTATCGGCTGGAATAAGCAGACCACTCTGGGGTGTTATCTGCTATCAGCAATAACATCACAGAGTAGGAGGGTCCTCACTTACCCAGGTATTCTAAAAGATTGCTGAAGGTTGAGATGCTTAGCCATGAAGATAAGGAAAGCAAAGGGAGACTATCACATAATATAATCCCTAGAAACTCAACATGGAAGACGAAAAAGCATCTCAAAGATCTGACAGTGAGACCCCCCAGGCAGGCAGGTCATTTACGCAAACTGGGAAAAAGAACAATGGCAGAACTAGTACAAGCAGCCAAGATGACGGCAGAAATGCTACCGAATGCACTACAGTGGAAGACACAGTCACTGGACTAAAACATAAAATGAAGACAGCAACATCGGACACACTGAAGATGCACTGGCATTGAAAGCACATGGGGCTGGAGAGGGAAAGGGATACTTTCAAGCCTGTCATGAAGACAGTGACGTTCTGCAAAGGACTTGCTGGTTGACAAATGGTTATGAAACCCACATTTTAACTGTGGAAGACTTTTCCTAACAGAGCAGGTGTTTTTAATCACAATCACCCTCACCCTGTTACAAAATATAACTACTGTCTGGATAGGACGCTAACAAATATTGCAATTATTTTGTCTCACCAGTAAAATTGTTACTACTAAAAAAGTTTTGCAATTGTACCTTTTTCTTTTTCTGTTCTCTGTGTGAGTTCCGAGGCCCCATTGTGGGGCAAACAAGAATAGACCCACTGCCTACCCAAAAGCATGTCATAAGAGTCTACTCAGTAGAAGCTTCCTTCCAAGACTGAGAGCATCTGCCTGAGAGGCAAGGAACCAACAGTCTGTTACAATTGCGTCAGACCTGTAAAATAGATGTGCATGCAACATTCAGGTTCTGGAACTGGTCTAGTCCAGAAATAGATGAGGAACCAGAACTTTCCGTGAAAAAGACACCTTTTTTTTGTACCATGCAACTCAACATGTGCTCAATGGTTAGTTCAAAGACAGTAAACCTTTCTGACACTCTTCTATCACAGAAAGTTTTTACTTAAACCATTTCATCCCCAAGAAGCCCAAATACTGACACTGCCGGTCAGGTCCAATTCCCCGAAAATGTTACTTTTTCGACTCGTCTACAGTGACCTCTTTACAAGAAGCATAGTTAACGCTACTGACTGTTTTTGAATCTGTGCAAACGTTTAGGAGGTCAGGATATTAACATTAACAAAAAACACCATTTAGAGGCTTTTTTTTTTTAAGCCTAAAAAAACTTTTTAAAGCCAAGATAACATGAATTTTCCCATTAGCCTCAGTGATTAGAAGTTATGGGGTCAGGGCATGAGTAAGTAAGTAAAGGACCCTTTTCCACGCCTATAGGCATATAGGACATATAAAGCTAGAGCTATATTTTTTATAGACCAATTGGCACAAGATAGGTGATGTGGTCAGAATCACGCCAGCTATCTTTACTTCCCGGGACTGCACCCAGTACCCACTCAAAGCTGGGTTGACCTGGGAGTCAAGGTCAGTTTTTTTTAGTCTGGCTTCACCAGGTAGCGAACCTATGACCTTCCGATCTGCGGCGAGCGTCTAGCCGCTCTGCGATGGCCACTCCCACTATGGCACGAGTCATATGTATGTGTATATATATATATATATATATACAGCAGTCAGCCTAACTTTCTACGCGGCTTTGCCTATTATCAGGTTTAAAACTACCCTTGTGCCAACACCCTCAGTGAAACAACCAGTGTTGACATACGCCAAATTAAATTGTATCTACTAATTTAAATGTAGCTGTGAAGCTGCTTATGTGGGCAGAGCTGATTGAAGCCTAGAAACAAGTCGCTGAGCACATTCCAGTATGGGTGGAAAAAGCCATGCAAAATAATACTCAAAATTAGAATACTGGCCGCAAAGTTCACTCCTCTGCAATAGCACGCCATCTTCGGCTATCCTCCGAATAACGGTTGTAAATTATCGAGGCGGAAAATATACCCTAACAGGGCCTCAGTCACATGTCAATTGCGCACTTCCGGGGACTATAATGCCACCGCCAAATTGTGAACTTCCGCCACCGTTGGCGTGGATTGGGGCTAAACTAGATGGCTAGGACTTACGAGCAAATAAAATGAAGGAAGCTGCAGGAGATGCGGTAGCTGCTGCTTGTGAGTCCTAGCCATCTAGTTTAGCCTCAATCCTTGCCGTGTGAGCAGCGTGGTGGACACTCTCGGCGGTGGCAGAAGTTTCCGAAAGTTTGCAATTCAGCCGTGGTGGAATTCGCTGGAAGCGAGCATTTTAAGGCGACGGAAGTGCGCAATTGACACGGACTGAGGCCCTGTTAGGGTATATTTTCCGCCTCGATAATTTACGACCGTTATTCAGAGAATACCCCGCCATCTTCTAAAATCTGGAAACCTGGTTACTAAAAATAACGCATTTCAAATCCTTCATATGTCAACCAATGGCAGAACGTTAAGATTTCTCATAGCATCCATGATTCGTCACCTGCGCCAGGAACTCTGTATTCAGAAAGATATGGTTCTTTCTTTACGGCTGCCCTGGTAAAAAACAGGCAGTCATGCTGTGTTTGATCGTTGTTGAAATTGTACTTCAGTTATAAAGGATTCACTTATTTGCTTCATTTATGTAATTGTTACTGTAGTATGCACCTGACGAGATACAGTGAAATATGCCAGGCAATAAATTGTGCAATCTATTGTTTGTGTCTTCTTTTTTCAAGTTTACAATGGGGAAACATTGCTTTAATATTTATATTAGACCCCAGTGAATGAATTCCATTTAATGCTTCACCCTGTTCATGCATACTTATTACTCCTTTAAGATATCTTTATATATTTTAACAACAAAATCCTTCGAGATGTATGAAAAGATATGCATATGGTATTATCACTGTTAAGACTTACGTTGCTACTCACTTATCTAAAATCTTTCCAATTTCTATTTTATTATGCTGACAATTCCATTATTAAAAGTGATCCTTCCTAGTATTTCAATTACTTTGCTTTAACAGTAAAACTTTAATTTTTATTATTAGAACAAAAGTACTGCAATATTATTTTATTACTAAAATACTAAAAGTAGACATGTTTTCATTCATTCAATAATTCACAGCCTTGGCAATGGGATCAAGCTGTTTGGCTCAAGATCGAAGGTCGTGGATTTATTGTACAGAGCTCCCTGGGAGACCACGCCATACAAAACAAAAACCGGTGCTATGAGTGTTTGAATGAAGCCGATCCGGAGACCTCTTGACTTTAAAACTAAAAAAAGAGTGCACATGAACGCTCAGCGACTTACTTAGAATGGCAGTACTGTATAGCTGTTTCAGTTTTATTATTCTTTCTTTGAGATATATACAAAAAACAAAAAGGTGTGCTCACAATATTACAAACTGTTAAACTGTCCTTACTACTAAAATCACAAAATGTATGGTACCCCACAGCTAGCTAGCTAGCAGACAACAAAAAAGGAGGTTTTCTGACTTGACTGCGAAGTGCCACAACTCACGTCGTTTCTAACATCCTCTGACCTCAAAATCCACGCATCGCTGCATTTCAACGCATCCATTACAGACATTTTCAAAGCTCCTAGAACTTAACCAGACACTACATTAAATGCAAACCTCGTAAACTTCACATATGCATCAAAAAATTCTTTAAAAATTACTTCTTCTCGAGAAGAAAACGCCAAACATGCCCACATTCCTGCAGGTAAGACACAATGCAACAACAAGCGCCATTTTGCTCCAACAACCACTTCTTGCATTCTTCTCTACGTACCTTTTTCCGAGGCGGGGAATGTGTTATGGAGCTCGTCATCTCGAGTAACTTGCGTAATAATGGACGAACTGTCCATTTAGATGAGAACTGTTACCTCCTGTTGGCGACGTTTTTGCTATTTTATCCAAAAGTTAGGAAGGAAAGAGTCGAGGGGAACACATCTGGCCATTAGTGTACGCTTGTGCTACACAACACTGCCATCATGAATATTAATGAGCACAGGGCAGCGCCAAGGGCAAAAAGTTGAATCACACAGCGGTCTCACGGTACAAACATCTTCATAATTATAGAGCGGGGAAAACTGTATGTCTCCCTATAAAAATCCTGATTTTAACAGGATATCGTTGTTCAAATTATTACTTTATCTTCAGTGCTTAAAGTTGACCTTTTTCTTCTGCCTTCTACCCCCCCCCCAATGGAGCAAAGGCAAAACTAACTCACGCCAGGTCTTTCTATCCTTTGCTCTTGCACGCAGCTCGCCATATGTCCTCTCCCTCTTTTTAACGTCACTCTCTAGCTAACTTTTCCCTACTACTACTACTACTACTACTAGCAGCAGCAGCAGTAGTAGTAGCATTAATAGTTGTAGTAGTAGTAGTAGTAGTAGTAGTATAAATAGTTATAATGTTCAAAATTATGGTTAAGGCGCAGCTGTAACATAAACTTTGTTCAATGAGTATCAGCACCTATTTTTAGACTTTATATTCAGTACTAGCGCCTTTAAAAAATATGTGTTTTATATATATATATATATATATATATATATATATATATATATATATATATATATATATATATATATATAGAGAGAGAGAGAGAGAGAGAGAGAGAGGGGGGGAAGAGAGTGAGAAAGGAAGAGAGAGAGAGAGAGAGAATGTATCTTTTCTCATACTGGATATCGTGTCTGTCTAATAGATATTCGCTTAAATATCTCATATTGCATAGATTCTGTGTTAATTGCAACACGCTATTGGTAGATTTTAAGTAAAGTAAAGGAGCCTTTTTCAAGCGTACTGGATACTTGGTGGGCTATGTGATCAGCATCATGCCGGCCACCTTTACTTCCCGGAATGTACCTGGTACCCATTCAAGGTTAGATCGACCTGGCAGCCAAGGTCATTTCTGTAAAAAGTCTGACTTTGTCAGGTCCCGAACCCACTACCTTCCGATCCTCAGGCGAGCGTCTAGCCTCTACACCTCTGCGGCCCCTGTAGATTATAAGAGTTGAGTATAATGTATTTTATATGTATATGACTCTTAACCAAATTGTGAAAATCAGAAAGTAATTTGTAGGAACATATGTGTTTATATCAGAAAGGATAGAAACTCTATAATCCAGGTTATGACACAGAAGGGTTGAACAGCTTATCGTCGATTTGTTGATTGAATTACAGCTGCTTCAGTGGCGAAGTGGTCAACCCGTTTGCCTCGTTCTTTGAAGGTCGTGGGCTCATTTCATGGCTGCACCCTTCCGTCCACGATTGCAGTTGTTACAGAAACTCGTGGAGATGGTCGCCGGAGGAACAGTGTTCGTGCTTTGTGTGACGCTCTCGACAGGCCTTTAGCTGTCTTGCGGATAGGTACAGAGCCACATGGGATGAAACCCGATGCAATTAAGGTAATCCCCTCGACTTTAACTTTCGTGTCTAGTATGTCTTCCCCTCTCTATAATTATTTTCTGCATTTATGATTGCCGATCAGTGGATTACAATTTCTTTAATATATCCAGAAAACATAACTAAAACATGTTAATAAACTCACAAATTACCACAGTTAAGACTTATATTTATAATTCAATATGTTTTTAATTATTGTTTGTTTTTGATTAAAGAATTTATTTGTTTCGTTAAATGTAGCGGCCAAGATGTCTGCTATCAGGATATAATCAAAGTAGGTCATTCGGTTTTATTATTACACGTTAGTGTAACCAAGAGAAGAACATTCAACAGCGTTGACAGCAAATAATTTGTCTACGTAGGGAACAAAACGGGATTAGGAAATGTTAAATGTTTAGTAGTGTTTCTGTAGTACTACCCCAAAGACGCTGATAAAACTTTCCTTTAGAAGCGTGAGATATCAACATTAAACCATATCGGCATATGTCCTTTGAGGTCAAAGGTTATGATTTTAACACATGCCTATGACACAGTGTGAACTTCTTTGACCTTTTGTACACGGTATGACCGTTTTTTTTTTTTTTAAACAGAGAAAGGTAGGCACTTTGTTTTATGGAAAACTGGCATCCAGTCCCTTGCCATTTAATGCCATTTAATCCTTACTTTTAAATACGGCTGTGAAACGTGGACCTTATCATCCGAACTCGAAAGGAAAATAAAATGTTGGGAAATCAATTTTGTTCAACAAATACTGGTTCTGACCAAATCACAAATGATGATGTTCTCGCGTCCTCTCCTCACCCTACGAAACTCTTTTAACAACAGTGAAAATACATAGACTACAAGGTGTAGACTTGTAACAAGATCTACCAGACTATAAAACAATAGTACATGGACAAAGAAGACACAAACAATAGATTGCACAATTTATTGCCTAGAGCCCGGCTCTCTAGCGTTGTTGGCTAAACCGGACTGCGCGGTGACCGGGTGACGAACTCTTTGTGTTCCGGGTTCACACCCGGGAGCAGGCAGAAAAGCCACATTTCTCCCAGATTTACGGTATCTATCATGGAATCAAGGCCAAAGGGTTGCGATATCCATAATGCCGAGCCTAAGGGTTAACAACTCATTGCTTCTGAATACTAATAAAAAAATATCCTGACATATTTCGCTGTATCTCGTCAGGTGGATACTACAGTAACAATGACATAAATTGAAGCATATAAGTGAATCCTTTATAACTGAGGTACAATTACAACAACGGTCAAAACATAACTGCCTGTTTTTATCAGGGCAGCCGTAAAGACAGAACCATCTCTTTTTGTATACAGAACTCTTTTGAGGGGAAGAGGGAGACCTTTACAGAACGTCACTCTCTTCACGGCACGACTGAAAGTATCACTTTTCCCATCCGGCCCCATGTGCTTTCAATGCCAATGCATCTTCAATGTCTTGTATCCATCTTCGCGGTGGTCGACCCCTGCCTCGCCTTCCACAAACTGCACCTTCCATCACTGTCTTTTCCAAGCCACCATGCCGCTTGATGTGGCCAAAATACTTCAACTTTCGGGACAGGATGCTGTTTGTGAGCCAGTTCTCCTTGATGTTTAACTCGTTCAGAATGTCGATGTTTTTCCTCTTCCTGATCCATGGTATTCTAAGAATTTTTCTATAACATTTCAATTCAAAAGCTCCAATTTTTTGCCCCTCACTGACTGAGTGAGAGTCCAAGACTCACACCCGTAAGTTGCCACAGGAAAAATGCATGATCTAATTTTTTTAATTTTAACCAATTTACTAGTCCTTTGTCATAGGTTCTTCATGCTATTTAATCTTTGCATTACTAATGCAAGTCTTCTGACTTCTTTTGAGCAGTCGCCACTGTTGTTCATTAAAGAGCCCAAGTATTCGAAATCTGTTACATTTTATATTTCTTCATTTATGATTGTGACACTTGGTTGGTGTGCTGTATTTACTGAGGACATAATTTTTGTTGTTGTTGTTTTTTTTTTAATTTAAAAAAAAAAAAGATTCACTTCTACGCTGTTTTTTTTTTTTTTTTAAGCCAGAATTAATTTTTCTAAACCTTGTACACTGTTGTAAAGAAGAACTGTGTCGTCTGCATATCTGAGTTCTGGGATAGGATTACCTCCAATTTTTAGTGGATACGCCATGAGTGGATCACAGCTCTCACATGCCTCATCGCTTATTGCGTTTCTCATAACATTTTCAGCATATAGGTTAAAAGGGAGGGTGAAAGAATGCAGCCCTGTCTCACGCCTTTCTATGTAACTAGCATGATGATAATGGCGATGTCTCGCCAGATGGCGGGGATGATGGTCGGTCTTCACATCTTGCGATCTCCAACAACATTTATCATTTCGTTTGCTGACTTTTTTCCATGCCATGGCAAATGGCTGTTGAGAATTGTATTTATTTATTTATTTATTGGCTGTGGTCCTTCATCTTGTTTTCCATAACAGCTTCCATTTATTACATGTTTGTGTGTTTCACTTTTATTATGTGACGAAAAATGACTGTTTCCCCGGTGTTCGCAAGAAGTTATCTGTGTTTCTTTGTTTCCGTCTAACCATTTCGATTATTCTTTTGCCGCCTTTCCCTGAAAATTTCGCCTTACGCACAAACACACACACACACACACACACAAAATCCCTAGTTTGATATTTTAGGATGCTCCTAATGAAAATCGTATTGGGCATATAGGGCTAGACCTATATTTTATAGACTAGTCGGCACTCGTTGGCAGATGTGGTCAGCATCACACCGCCTCCTTTACTTCCCATGACTGTATCTGGTACCCACTCAAGGCTGGTTCGACATGAGAGCCTATATCATTTTTTTTTAAAATTTAAAGTCCGGCTCAGTACGGACACAAACCCATTACTTTCCGAAACAATACAAAAATTACGTCTCATACAGGGGCGAAGTTATTCAGTATGATGAGTCTAGCTTCATATGCCTCAGTGGCGTGAAACGGTCCTTTAGTTTATAGCAAGCAGAGTTGAAAAACGGAACAAATCGACGAAAAAAATATTAAATAATATTTTATAAACAAACAAACGTACTGGATGGATGAAAGCTGTCAATTTGCCAGAAATCCGGCTCTTTTGTTGTTCAGTAATGGTTGATTTGTGTCTGATAGTGTGTGATCGATTCTAGTTGAATTTTTAGTAGTAGCTTGCAGAATTTGTTATTTTTTTTTTTTTTACAATATAATCTCCTCCTCCTTTGTCTTCTTCTTCTTCTTCTTCTTCTTCTTCTTCTTCTTCTTCTTCTTCTTCTTCTTCTTCTTCTTCTTCTTCTTCTTCTTCTTCTTCTTCTTCTTCTTCTTCTTCTTCTTCTTCTTCTTCTTCTTCTTCTTCTTCTTCTTCTTCTCCTCCTCCTTCTTCTTCTTCTTCTTCTTCTTCTTCTTCTTCTTCTTCTTCTTCTTCTTCTTCTT